AATAGACAAACGAACTGGCTGTGAATCGACACGCTCGGTGCGAAGGCGTTCGCTCGCGCTCACTCTAGTTCACTGCTCTTGTCCTCGAGCGCGTTTCGACGCTCAACACCTTTTCTATTCAATTAACGAGCAGGCTTTTCAAACTGGAAAATCAGCCACGCTGTAAACTGGTCGTGTTTCATAGATCACTTGAATTTTGTTGCGGTGCTCTTAGACGACTGTCAGTTTTTATCCTCAGGTGTGAAGGAAAATGGGCTATTTGGATGATGGTTCGTTGATGGTTTCACTCAGTTGGTTTTTGTAGATTTTTTACCTTTATCTTGTAACTGGTGCAGACATTTGAGTTCTGTACGAGTCGTTCACGTTTGGTCTTTTAAAATTGATTTTAAAGAAATTTTTTGTGCCTTTAGTACATTAAACTAAAATTTTCATCAACTTCTAATTAATCCTTGGACGACGAATATACCGAGCTGTTTTGTTAGTATTCGGGGTCCTCACCCAACCCCACCTGACCCGTGAAAAATTGTATATTTTTAAAATGGGAAGAAAATTTGCGACACCGGTGAGATTTGGAATTTGAGCTCTTCAGTTCACCAAAACCACCCACGCTTATAATAGTTAGTACTAAAAAAATTAAAATATTCAGTAATATAAGAATCTATTATAAAAATTCATTTGCGAATATCGGGTGAAAATTTTTAAAATTTTAAGTAAATTTTGGAAAAATCATCAGAGATAGTTCCAATACCCAATCACCGTAATAATAGTGATCCTTTTGACTTGATAAAAAATATTTGGGAGACAGTTTCCTCTCGACAGAACAGCGAACGGAAAGCACTAATTGACTGGCTCCGTCGCCTCCGGTTTTTGAAACGAATTAGTTGACGACGAATCCGATTCAGTCGCATCCTTTCAGACCGTTCTACCCCCTTTCCTGTTTACCCACCCTACGTCTCATCTTTATGACGAAGAGAAGCTTCGTTTTTCACAACTACATCTCGTTACGGTTTTCACGGACGAACGAGAACAGGGGGGAAGGGTTTTTGTCAAGCCATCGAGAATTCGAATTAATACGCTTGGCGTCGCGGCGCGGAGCGACGCACGCATTACGGAATTATGCTTAATTAGCCAGCCATCTAGCGTGCGATTTAATACGACGTCCCTATCGGGGAAGGTCTCGATTGCACGTCACGTTTTCTTCGAACCCATGTTTCAGTAATTGCGACTGTTGATCTTCTCATTAACACCGATGGAGAAACATTCTTTATTGTCTGGAGTTGGTCCTCACACTTTTTATTGCTTTGTATTCGTTTATGTACGATTGGAATCGTTTTTGGAAATTTTTGCAAATTCTTCAGCTTTTCATAATTATTTAATTAAATTCATAAATTTAAAGTTTCTTCTTAAGAAAGAAATGAAATAATTAAAGTAGGATTAATCGTAAGACGAATCAAGCGTGAAACTTTCACGCTTCCCTGACAGTCGCTTCGTTATATAGAGAGGGAAAATTAAATCGAGACTTATTCGAAGAAAGCAGTTTGCACGATGTTTCCATGTAAATGGACTGATCGATCATCCCACGAGGAAAGAGCAAAGTTTCACGCGGACCCATCGTATTTACATTCGTTGGAAAACGTAATTCCGATGAACTGATCGATCGAGTTTTACTCGATGAAAGTTTGTCGCGAAGCTTAATCTTCAATTATCAGTCGATATCGGAAGAGGACAAGATGGAATTGTAATAATCGAGAGAATCAGACTTCCGTCTCCAGCGATAATTCAATTCTCCCCGATTATAAAATATTGTACAGGAAGCAATCACGTCAAATCAAACAATTGGTTATTTCCGAATATTTTCATTTTATTCCAAAATCATTCATACTTTTCAGTTATGTACTAAATTTTATAATATATAATTATTAAAAAATTATATTTTTTCCGCTCTGAATTACTTTTAATATCTTCAAGATTAAGGTTTCGAGAATTTCTACTTTCTCTGTAGCCATTTCCCCTAGAAAAGTCTATTATGCTTGAAACTGTGCGCCTAATATTTATATAAAACAATGATTTCTAATACGAACCTTCAAATTTTCAAGTGATAGAGTTCGTTCTGTCTGGTACGTAAAATCAACAAAGAATGCAATTATCGCAGTGGCGAGACGCGTTTTTGCGCCAAGGGAAACTGAAAAGAAGAAACGAGAGGAGAAAGTGGAAAAAGACGAAAGATCGCGTAGTCTGAGGAGAGGCATTCATGCAACGAGTTCTCGGTAAGGTCAGAATTCACGTTCCGTGATAAAAGAAACGCGTGGAGCTGTCGGTGGTTACCGTAGGGGTTGCTAATACTCTGAAAATCTGCTTCCCTCGTGTCATATTCGAAAGGTACGCACGATATCGAGGGGAAGCCTTCTTCGAAATTCCGCGTCGACATCCGCTTGATTACATGCGTCTCTTTTCCGCTTCATTTCCGCACAGGGACCGACCACGACGCCCGCTGAAAATTTCTTTACCCAGGACCCTTCAGGATCTCGAGCTTTTCCGGCTTGAATTCCGAATGATTTTGCTGAAACGATCCCTCATCGCGATGGTCGATTTTGTCAGGCAAATTGGATAGGCGAGTTTCTCGCGACAGGTGCAATTATCCTCGAATTTAGCATGTTTATTTTTTAAATTAGATATCATTTTAACATATTAACATTAATGGGGTTTTTATCACCATTTATTGTAGATGAAAAATTAATTAACCCTTTAAGTGTTTTATTAAATTTGGAAGAGTGCACTTGTGTACTTAATTATTTATCAATTTTTTAATTAGGGATAATGGGTTAATTCGTCATTGAAGAATGCTTCTTCAGTAGGAATGACGAGTTAACTGGTCATAGAAATTTGACGAAAACCGATAATTATAATAAATTTAAATTCAATGCATTTTTAATATTCTAACTAAGCAAGAAGAATTTACTCTATCACGAAATTTACGATCAGAGCTGAGAAAATCGTAATTTTCTCTGGAGCACATTGTCCCGAATCATCCCCTATCTTGTTTTATCTTTCCTCGTATTCCTGAAACTTCTCGTCGAAAGACTTTCCACTAAAACGAGAGATAATAAAAAAAAAAATGAGGACAACGAGACTGATCCGGTCCAACCATTACGTTTTCCTTGAAGAAAATCGCCAGCCCTTCCTATTCACCCCTGTTGCGACAAAAGCATGGCATTAGACCGAGCACCCCGGCCGAATACCAATGCGTTAAGCTACCAAAAAGCTCTGGTATTAAGTCGCACCCTCTACTTTAATCTTTTCTGCTTCGTTCTTCGAGCGGCGGTTTCAAACTTGCTCAACAACTCGAAATCTTTAACTTACACTCGATTCGTTCGGAGACGGCTACTTTAACCCTTCGGCTATAAAGATACGTTTTTCACCTTTAAGCGGAGTTTACACCTAGTTCCAATTACTAATCATTAAACGTTTCGTTTCTCCGTTCCTCATGCATCACTAACCTAATTTCCTAGTAGGTCGCACAAGTGCATCGCAAAGTGTTTTGAACGCGTTAATTTTTTCCCCGAGAAGCGACTGCAAAGTAATTAGTTTCGTTTGAGAAATCACGCTGTAACAAGCGAAAATTTGAACGACTTTAAAACTTATAATCTGTATTACATATTTAACTCCCACTTCGATTCCTACTCTTTTTATTAGACAGTTTTAATTATTACATCTTAAAATTCTTTAATCACTTTACTTAAAATGAGATCTTTAAGACGTCATGCGATTTCGAAAATTATTTATTATATTTGTTTCCATGCAAAAGCAACAACGAAAGTATTTTTGCACCACTATGTTGATTTTAAAGCAACGTAATAATAAATAAATAATTGTCAAATATTTCTTGGCACCTCCGAATTAAATTGCAGAACAAAAGGGTTAATGGTGATAAAAAAATTATTATCGTTGGTTTTCTACAATTTTAAGACATTTTTGTAGTCCTAGGTTTGTGAAGCTTAAAATACAGTCCTGATTCAATAGAAACTAAGAAAGAAAGCTTTCTGGGCTTTCAGTTTCCGGCTCTTTCGACGTTCACATCGTTACAATTAAATCCGAAGAGTCCACTTTTCTGGCGGAAGAACACTGGGTTGATCTTGAAAGAGAACGATCCGCTCTCAGTTTGCCGTAAAACAACCCCTACACTTTCATACAGACCCGTTCTTTTCGAGATACACCACGCTTCTATCCTGCCACTCTTGTCCGACCTTTTATTCCCTCTTCTTCATCTTTTTTTTTTTTCTGTGCCACGGTGGCCAGTTACGAACCATACAATCCCGTATTTATGAGGGATTCTCTCTGGCGTAGGAAACAGGGTGTACACCACCAATTTCCACCGATCTACCCTCCTGCCCTCGTGTTCTTTCCAGGAACGTCCCAATTTTTCTGCCCCATAGGTTTTAACGAGGAGCTTTCGCGGGAAATGATCGTTCTTTATTGAAAACCAGACCACTTCTAACAGCAATTTTATTCGCCAACCATGGAAATACTCGTACGAGTCCACTTATTCACCCCTGATTTCTCATTGAACGGTAAAAAAATGAAAAAATTAATTAAGTTATCTAATATTTTCATATAACCTTTGCACTCATTTTGTCAGTTTTTGTTTATAAAATAATTCCAATATTGTACATTGATAAACGAGAAAAATAAGAATTCATCTAAAATATCATTAATATTAATAGCCGAGTAAAAAATAGAAGTTAAGGAACAGTGGAGAATTGTTGAACAATTCCCGATGGAAATTAAATCGTTCCATTCTGCCGGTCGATCCGATGAAATTTCCATACGATTAAGAGCTCGTATATTATCCCGCTTTTAATTAAAGAGAAAGTAGTAGCGCGAGCCGTTGAATTATCGTCCAAGTATAACGGGGGAAGAAAAACAGAAAAATATAGAAAATCGCGCTACACCTGGTGTACGGGAACTCTGCTATATTTGCACTCTGTTTCATTATTTTCCAGGAGCCGCAGCCGCATCCCGGGTCTACGTGGACGCATTGTCTCGATTAGCACGGCAGGCGCAACTGGGAACATGGGGTGGTTCCAAGGATGTCGGTAAGTTTCGCAATTTTCTTATTATCGTCGCGCCGCGAACCTTTTTCCCTCTATTTCTCATCGCCCTCCCCGGAGACGGAGAAATTCGAAACGCGTAACTAGGCGGTCGCGTGAGCATCACGCTAATTAAAATTCGTCACGTAATTATCGGTCCGCAAAATGAGTTCCGCTCGGTTTTTAAACGTCGGATATGAAGCTTTATTAATTAGCGTACGACGTGTCATTAAACGGGCAAATAAATTGCCACCAATCGCGATGGAAATTTGATTGTTTCGTTCGACGTTTAATCGGAAGCATTAAATTTAGATTTCAGTAGTGATGCACCTCTCAATTATCAGATTGCCTGCATCGGAATTATTTTAATTACGCTGACACGATAAACGTAATGCTCGATATTTATTATAACTTAACCCTTGAAATATAAAATGAAATAAAAATAGTGGCTCTCTCTATGATCTACTGCGACGTCTTAAAATATATGTAATTACGATATACCTTGAATTATCTCCAATCGTTTCAATAATTAGGGAAAATTTTTCCAAAATTATCGATCTACTTAGACGCTTCGAGGTTTTTTACGAAACACTCGCGCTGGCAAAGCTACTCTGAACTTTAGGTAAAATTTCGAGTCTACAGTCGAGGGAGATGCTTTCCCTTCTGTGTTTCCAAAATAAATTAGCACTCGTCCAGCTGCGAGTTAGTTAATTTCAAAGGGTGATCCTCGTCGCGAAACGGGCGACTCGCGGAACCTTTTTTTTTTTCCTCATCCGCTTTCGACAAAGTTTGGTCTGTCGGCGCGAGGAACGGTAGACGAGCACTCTCGTGGCTTCCAAAGCCAATAAAGGTTCACCCGTTTAACAGTCTATCCCTGTCTCTGTCCGTCTCGATGCCTAGCCTACTCAGCGAGACTGCACGGAAAGAGGGTAGAAAAGTTGCTAACAGGATCATTGCAGCGTGATAAGTGTACGTATTAAGTCCGGGTCGGTAACCTTCGTGGCCGAGCTAGAGAGTTTCGAAATAAGAAAGGAACACGAGCGGGACTCTTAGGAAGCTGCCCAAGTGCGACGAAAGTTCTATTTGTTTTTCAAGTGGAAAGAAAGATCCCGGTTCGATTTATTTGCTGCTCACTTTGGTATTGTTCCCGCAAAAAGCTTCGTGCCATCTTGACATTCAGAGGGAAACTTCTCTTTCATCCTCTCTACTTGCCATACCGAGTAAAAAGATTAATATTATGAAGATGGCATGTCAGAAATAAAAGAGGATGTAAGAGATCAATAGAAACGTTTGTTGCAGGGATTCAAAGGTAACTGTCGTTTCTCATAGTTTTCTTGTCAGAGAATATTATTTCTTTCTCTGCGGTCAGGTTCTTTTCAAAAGCAATGAGACATTAATGGGTTTTCCTACTAGCTTTCTACTATTTGTTTTTATAATGCAAATTAGGATTGGAGTTTCAAATAATAGGAATTATTGAATAGTTAACCTGACATGTTTCGTACTTTCGCGAAATACATTAGTAATGAATATTTAAATTTGTATTTATCAAAAAAAAAAATAAAATATAATATTGGGAAAAAAGTATTGAGGATGTAAAGGAATGTATGTGAAGTACAATGAATTTTACTGGACGTCCATACGTCAATCGGTTCCCGAGATATAGGACTTTAAAGAATGGCGCGAAACGCACGAATTAATGAATGAAGGGCCAAAGCGTCCTGACCTACATTTTTTCCAGGAAGTGCGTACGCACGATAGTAAATAGTATAAATACGCTGACTCCTCGCGTCATTCATGGTGTGCGAGTGAGAGGTCCGATTCGCAGAGCGAGACAACAATATCAAAACAGTAGAAATAACACTTTGTTTTAAACGATGATGTCTCAACAACCAAAAGTCGTATCGATATAAATTCAGCGTCATTTTACAAATGAAATTCTACCGCTTCTAACGATATCATGTGTATAAGAATCAGTTTTGCAAATTCGAAATTATAAACAATTAAAATCTTGGTCATTTTAATACGTATTTTTGAGGTATTTTAACATATCCTCTGATATAAAATATGTATCAATGGAATAACTGTGTATATAATATTTTTATTAATGTTGAAAATTGTAATATTAACAAAGTTTTGTTTATAAGGGGTGTTCGAAATACAATACTGCTTCTTTTATCTCAATTTTCATAACATTTTCAAAAAATGGGTTGTATCTTTTTCTTTGGGCTATTCCTAAGTTATTATTTTGCAATAGCCAATATAATTTTCGGAATATATGCAATGACGGCATATATTGATTAATTAATAGAGGACAGAACTAATTCGTGGCGTAAAACATAAATACTTAATTTTTGAACAGCGGAGTCTGGATCAATCGTGACCCAAAATTGCAAAACATATACAAGGATATTAACTTAAAGTTTAGAAATAGTTTTAAATATTATAAAAATAATTTTCAAAGGAACAGTGTAAAATTTAAAAGATATAAATAATATGAAATACAAAGTTAAATTAAAATTTAAGCTCTCTGCATAGTCCGCCATCCAAGGATTAAATATTTAAGTAAAATGTGATTTTATAGTGTATATCATCACTTACCCCCACCTCTGATGAAATTTACTTTGATATTGAAGAATGAATTTTTCAAAGAACCTGCCTTGTATCCTCAGTCTTACAGCCTCAGGCATCCATTGTCTGCAAAAAGAATCCAACCAAAAATTTCAAACATATGAATTATTATAAACATTAAAAAGAACACATTGGATAGAATATCCATAAATTTAACAAAAATAACGATCCACACTCTACTCAAAAGAGAACAAGTGGCCATCTCAAGAATTAAAATTGGCCATTCTAGAATTACTCACTCCTACAGATTATCAAAACTCCAGCTCCCCAATGTGAAGAGTGTGATTCTGCAATATCCATAGATCATTTAATCCTCCACTATACTAAATATGATATAAACTAGAATCTTCACTCAAGGACAACTTAAAAAATAGTAAAATTCAGGACTTACTTAAATTTATAAAAGATACCAAACTGATAGAACAGATATTGTAAGCTTCACCTACTCCTTGATGTCGCTAATAACCTTGTAGTTAATGTAACAAAAAACCCTAAATAAAAAAAATAAAAAAGAATCTCTGTAACGTGTTACACAAGTGTGCAGACAAAACGCAGTAATTAAGTAGTCAGATCTCTCAGGCATGCAGCCCTATTTTCAAAGATAATACAAAAGGAGTTCTCGAACATGCCTACATTGCATCATCCCCTTCCCGAACAGTGACCGAAGTTAACTGCAATCGGTGGTTGGCTAGAATATCCAAGCCTTGGATATAACCCTTTTAACTGCATACGAGACGCCCCGAGGCACCTTCCAATTTAAACTCTGCACCGCGTGTGCAACCTCGAAATAGGGTTACCGTATTATTTGTCGTTCTAACCAGTTATGGCCAACAATAAAGCGGATAAATTATTTCTACGGTAACTATTGTTTCTATTTTCTTTGATCAAACGTGTAATTGCTCGATTTCTATGAAAGGACACGCATAGTTATAATCAATATTTATAATTATGAAGGTGTAATAGTTGCACAACTTTTGCATATAATTTCGACTGATAGATTGTTCAAAGTAACCGAAGGCACGTTCAATTTCACTAGAAGGTAAGTGGGTTTGCTGTGAACGATAGGTTCGGGCAAACTCCTGGAAAATTGACTCTCATCAGGAAAGTGTTGCACTTGTAGGACAGCCGGAGTTTCTTACAACAATCGATGACTAGCGGAGCGGAATATCTTATTATCCTCCATTTTGGCTGTTTGGCAGTTTTCCAGTGTACGCCAATTTGCACTCGTTAAAGACACGCCGAGGGAACTTTACGACCGGCCAATGTTGACTAAAACTCTCCACTTTCACGATTTTTATTAGACGAATAAAAAATAATTTTTCCAGTAGAATAATATTGTAATATTATTTTCCACAAATTCTATTTCTATTTCCGTTTCAAATATTTTGTTTTATAGAATTTCTTAAATAAGTAATAAAGGGAAATGTATCAAACTACACTTGTTTAGTCGAGTTTTCGTGAGAACAACGATGTGTCCCGAATAACACTTACACCGGCTCCCATTTCGACCCTCCAATTATCGTGGAGAAACTTCCTCCAATTGCCTCGATGTCGCTTTTTCCATTCTCTACTACTGTGTTCTTTGTTTTCTATTGTTCGATACAGCCATCGAATCTGTCAGTTTCCCCAGTTCGCAGGTGCACTTGTGTCAATTGTGTAAAACAAACTTTTTGAAACGCTGTAATACGTTTCATGGGAAACAAATCTGGCTGCAGCAAATACTATTGTTTCTATAAGCACCTCTTAACATTCAATCACAAGTAGAAATTTGTTCAGTTTATTACAGTAATTTGATATTCATTCATTATTCATATTTTCTAAGCAAAAAAAAAGGATTATATGTAGCTAGAACAAGTTTTATTACGCTAATTTGATTTTGTTTCAATATACTCGTTTCATTTTAACAATTATGAAATTCTTGTTTAACCCTTTATTGCATAATTTTCTTCTTAATTTTTATCTTTCTTTGCCCCTTCAATTAACAGTTTACAAGCTTGCAAAATTTTCCGCCTTTACAACCGACTGCAGCCTCGTCCGCGGCAATATAACGAGAGTCTATTGTAAATTTATGAATCGTGATCGAAAATAAATCAAACATAGATTCAATATTTTATTCTAAATATCAACTTGAAAAACGGCACGAATTTATAGGACGGTCAATATTTTGAGAGTAGATTCTGTTTTGTTGTAAGGCTAAGGTAATTGACACCTCATCGATTACTTTCCCCGCGAATTGATCAATCGCACGTCAGAAGTTACGTTCTCCCGTTTCTATTGCATCCTCGAGGAGATCGTTTCAGCTCGATTCGACAGTTTGTCGTCGAGAGGCGTTTCCTGAATAAGGCAAGGATTTCCTTTGCCGTTGCGAACCTTTCAAACTTGCTCAGCCAGGAATCCGTGGGCTCAAGTTTAAATCGACGGACTTTTGTCAACTGCGAAACGACACACGCCGCTGCAGAGACAGACAAACTCGTTCAATTTAGACACGCGATTCTCTGCTATCTCTGCCCGCCAAAACTAAATTAAACTTTTAATTATTTCAACGATGTTGAGAAAAGAAGCGAATCGTTGGTGTACAGGTGCAACCCTATTACTTTTTATTTTTCTATGAATTTCATGAATACAAAGAATTCTTTAAGCAGTATTGTTGAAAAATTATTATTTAAGAAAAAATAATGTGTATATATTTTTTGGTACGGAAATTTGAGAATTACAAAATTCCAGGTACTAATAGTTTAAAAATTTCAAAGAATTCTGAAATCTTCAAAAATTAACTTTAACCACATAACGAATAAAAATTATTAAATTTATGAATAATAATTGAATTTAAAGCCCTGAAACATCGTTCAAGAAATATGCCAGTAAAAGCTATAAATAGCACGAAATCTGTTAAGGCGATTAAATGTCTTAAAATAAATTCAGGCTGCAAAGGGTTAAGGACAGTTTCGCGAAGGGATCAAGGTACCTCTGAGTGGGTCACTCGATTTAATCAAGCCGTCCTCATCAATCAGATTCATTGATGCGGGTTACAGTCAGCACCCATCGTTTGATCTGATAATCCTTTCTAATTCTGCCCCGAAGTCAGTGCTCGGATTTCCTGGCAGTGGTCTCTTTAGGGGTTTCACCGAACCACCATGGTCGGCCCGCAACCTCTACGACCCGAGGAAATTGAAAAGTCGTGTTCGACAGATTGATCGACAACTCTCATCGATCCGCCCTTATTTGAATACCAATTTACTGACCTGCATTACTGCATATGGTCATCCATTAACAAATAATATTAATAAATTACCCTCCTTTCATTGCATTCAGTATCTTTATAAATATTAATATTGGAAAAATTTTATTTATCATCTGTGATAATGAGAATTAATTAAATTTATTCGAAACGAAGCTTCTGCATTTGTTCATTTAACAGCTGCATAATATTAAGATTTACACAAAATTTCAGAATTTTCCATCCAAACATTTACATTATAATTTCTGCTACAGTATTTATTTTAGCTATTTCCATTTGTTTGTAAAGTGCACTGCGCGTTGCATTTGTCCTAATTTCACTTAATTGTGGTCAGTCTACATCCAGTTATTTGTTGCGTAAATATTTGTTATCCAATGCATTATTTGCATGCAACGTGCAAACCTGTTCGACCGGTGTTGCTATGCATTGAGAGCAAAATTATTTATATATTTATTTTTTGAATATTTGTATATCAAATTATACTTTATAATCTTTTTGGCAACTTCCATGAGCAAGCTGGATCGTTCATGTCTGTCACTGATTTATTTTACTGTTTTTGGCTTTCAAAAATCCCAGGTTACCCGCGAAGAGTTAATTACTAATTGTAAGTGTTCACGGATATCCAAATATTCAAATTTTCCTCTAATTCCCTAAAATTTCACAAGTTTAATTTATCTCCACTTAAAAAATGAAACGTAAGCTATCATTGCTTTTAAATGCGGATAAATATCCTTCGACAAAGGGATCAAAATTTTTCTATAATTCTCAGGAGGGCATACGTCGTTGGAACGCGTTACGCGCGATTACCATAACATAACACATTTGCAAACAGGCGGGTAGCAGAGTCGTGGAGGAGGACGCCGAAGAAAATTCGTTTTCCCTTCCCTTACAGGCTCGACGCGACGCGTGAAACGAAAATTCGATGCTCACGATGTTAGCGCAGGGTGGTGCCGAAATGAAAGCGTGATAGCGAAATTGGCAATATCACGACTTTTCCCTACCGTTTCTCTCTCTTCCCTAAAATCGATCGCTTCTCACCCCTCCTTCCGCCCTAGGAAATTTCCTTTCCTTGAAAATCCATCCCTCCCCTTCGACGTTGTAATAAGATTGTCGTGAACGATTTGATATTAATTTGGAGAACTGGAGGAAATTTCCTTCCGTCAAATGACAAATTTTTATCAACTACCCTTGATGGAAATATTGGACATAAAAGAAAATTCTGTAATCTCGAAATTACTGTTTTAATTATTTTTAATTTAAGTTTCCTTTCTTGTAAACAAGAAAAGGTTGCTGTTCACTTGGTTAATCGATGCTCCCCCAATTGATTCATCGATAATGTTTATTTGCGACAAACAGGAAACTCCGCTGAATGTTCGATGGTTATTCGAAAGTTTGCTTGCTTTTCTATACAATTAGTCGAGCACGGATTGCTGCGTAACAAGGGAACAAACAATCGACGTGCATCGAGTAATTTCATTAATAGCAAATTATTGTAAATTCACTTGTTACGATACGCTTAATGAGCCAACGAAATTTCTCGACAAATCTGCCGCACCATCCGATATGTTGTGGGCAGTAAAATTGAATAATAATTAATGTAATATTCGATGACCGTTCGGGTTACTGACAAGAGAAGATTTAATAATGACTCGTAAAATTATTGATTTTAACACCGGAGTTACGAAATTCTAGTAGAAATTAGATTTCAGTTTCCTTATTTTAAATTATATAATTTATTAAAGTTTTAATAAATGAATTTATCATTAAAGGCTTCTGTTGAAATAAAAAATGATAATATTTCATGGTTTATGTTTCATTCTTTATTAAT